TCCTGGTCTGGGAGCATATCACTCAAAACTGCCTGCTTTGCTCCCAAGGTGGGTTGAGTTATTGTCTGTTTGTTAAAGAGTATGTTAATAAATTTACTTTTTAACTAATTGAGTTTTAAAATGCAATCTTATTTTCAAGATGGAATACTTCCTGTTTCTACTATGTTGTTTTATGCTTGTTAAATTGCCCGGGTTGCAAATCACTTGATTAGGGCTGAAGGAAGACAAGCAGCACCTGGGTAAAGTCAGAAAAATAAGTTGGGCCCCCCAGCAGGCCAAAGCAAATCTCACAATGGATTATGTTGCTTTGTTTTTTCCAGAGGCCCTCACCCCACTCAGTCTAAGCCCATGGTCCCTGTCTCAAAATGGCATCATATTTACATTTGTCTTTTTCACTTTTACAATAATTTTATTACAAAGGTTTTTGGAGCGGAGAGGAAAGTTGTGAGACAGTGTTTTATGACCTTTGAAGATTATCTTAATGTTTAGGTGTGATTTTGTGTCTGATCCTTCACCCTTCTTTGAAATAGTACCCATGATTTTTCTTTGGTGGGCTATCCTTTATTCAATCTCAGTCTATATAATTTGAGTAAACTAGCCCCTTCCCCTACCTCCACATTGGACACAAACAAATTGGGCCTGGCTAATTAGAACCCTTATATTAGATCAGGATCTAGGCAGGAAGAAAAGCCACACCAGTTACTTAAACAGAGAGAATTTAATAAAAACAAGTATTAATCAAGTAGTTAACAAGGTAATTAAATAGGTGAAATGAGAACTGTTAAGAATTCTGGAGGTAGCAACGGCAGGAAGCAGCTTCTGCCTTTAGGGAAAGGGGAGAAATGGGAAAGGCTAGAATTATTAAAACTTAGAAGCTTGAAGGCCCCCTGTGGAACTGAAACCTCTGAGGAATGCTTTAATCCACTGGTGCTAATGTCTCAGCTCAGAGAAGAGGTTCCACTCATCTGCTAACCCAAACAGATCCCAGAAGACTGGCCTGTGCTGGTCTGTTTGGTGTGTCAGGCACTTGACAGTACTGGTAGCTACTTTAGCTATGGTGTTGAAGCCCATACAGTCACCATTCCTGCTACCATAACCACTTTGTGTCGCGACCGAAGCAACACGCCCAAGGTCTTGATTCTTCTCTAGGCTTTATTGTCTAATCTCTCACGGCGGTTACAGCAGTTGTCGGGAAGCTCCTCTCCCTCCCGGCGGGCTCCCTTATATTCAGTCACCCAACCAATCCGGGACAGTATCATGCATGACCTTTAAGCGGATAGGTGTCATGCGCCACTCTAAGGGGCAGCACGAGCTGTGCACGGGTACGGAAGTCTGCTGGGCCAATCCCCAACAGGGAAGAGGGGAAAGGGTGGTGAGCAGGAAGCAGGCGCCATCTTTAGGGCATTGTCCAGCTAGAGTGGGGCTCATCCTCAGCCGTAGGCCGGGCCCCCACACTTTGTTCATGGGGCCAGTGAATAAGCTACTCAGTCGGCAAGGAAACAGCTGACATCTATGGAAAGTACCATTTTCTCCACCTGAGTATTGAGAACCTCCTCTATAGTGAATGCCTATTGATGGACAATCAAATGGGACATAAACATCTCCACACTCTGTGGTCATTCTGAAAGATCCACAGACTTCTTGAAGAGATATCCTTCCCACTAATCTTCCAATTTGATTCTTTCCAAGTCCTTAACTACCCAGTTAAGCCACTAGCAACTACTCAGAAATCAGTGCAGATCTATAATTTTGGCCATTTCTGAATTCAAAGTAGACAACCAGATGTATTATTTGAAAGATATTTGAAAATTCAAAAGATATTTGAAAGATATTATTTGAAAATTCAAAACAAGATGTATTGTTTGAAATTCTGCTGATAGAACTTTCATCCATTGCAGTCTTTCTGGGCCATCGGTGAATGGGCTTTAATGTTGCAGCTATTCACTTTTGATTGTGGGCAGCATATGGTATGAAAACATCTATAAATCAGGTTTGAGTCTTTCCCCCCCAGTCAACTAATCATAGGAAAACCCTTGAGTGTCACAGGTGTGCACTGAGGTGTGCTCATCAGACTCAGTCTGCACGGTATCATCAGTGTAGTGGGCCAGCATGTTGTATAAAATGTGATGATCAAGATCTCTGCAGACCACATTATGGCTGAGAGCAGGTAAGCTGACTTAGCAGGAAGCATGACTGCAAAGGTGTACCTACTAGTCTGCAAGGAAAAGCAAACTGCTCTTGGGGTTCCTAGCATATAGGTTTTAAAACTTGGGTGGTGGGAGGGAGCATTTTCCATATCCGGTGCAAGGAGCAGTGTGGATTTTCTCCATCTGAGATACTGCATCTGGAAGAGCACTGCAAGTGAGTCACCCTCTGATTAACATTAATCTTAGTCATACTTCAAGATCCATCCACCTTCTACACAGACCAGAGTAGCTAAATGGATGTAATAGGAATCAACACTTCTGCATCATTCAAGTATGTGATGATGGTATTAATCTCTGCAATCCCACCAACAATGTCCTGTTCTGGTTTATTAACCTGGTAGAAATTCGAACAGCTTCCCCTTGAGCTTGCATACCTTAATTACCTATAGTCCATAAGTGAGGGAGCTGATATGGGGACACAGCTAGTTGCCTAGTATGTCTTTAACAATTACACATTATGGAACTGGTGAAAAATGCAGAGCTGACTCACAGACCTACTGAGCCCACTGTGACTCAATCTTGGCCTATGTATCACTTTACCACTTCATGACCAAGACATCCCACTTTGAATGTTCAATCAGCAGCATTCTTGGTCCCTAGCCACTAGCGTCAATTCAGAGCCAGTGTTAAGCAATCCCCAAGAGGTCTGGGTATATCTTCACCCCAATGTGTATTCACTCGAGAAAATGGCCACAGGGAAACTTGTAGCAGTGCTTCAGGGTCCTTCGTCAAGAGAACTCAGCCACCCCATAAATTAAGAGGCTGAGCCTCTGAACTGGTATAGGTCTGGAAACTGGATGAGAGGCGGCTCTTTGTGGTAGACCTGACCTTATTTTCATGTGTCCAACAAATATATATTGACACACCCTACTTCTAACACAATCTTTGCCATAAATATTACAAAGGAAAACCAATGACCTAGTCAGATCTGACCAAAAATGTAATTATAAGAACTACTTCAAGTAGATTCATAACGAGTAATAAGTATAAACCTTGTCTTGAAATATTAGCTATAGAGCCACCTAACAGCAAAGATTTTCAAGTTTACTGTACCATCCTTTATTTTGTTAATTTTTCTATGTATATTTTATGTAGAGTAGTATATCTTTGTAGTTTAAATATATGTTATGTGTACACATATTTTTTTTTACTGACAAGGGTATATGATTAATGTATGGAGGCTACCAATCTAGGATCAAATGACAAATTAGTTCCTAAACTCAGTCCAGACACCTGTCTTTTGCCTTTATTCCCAATTAATTCTGGATCTCAAAATATTATATAGTTATGCCAAGTTGCCCTTTTTTTTTCATTTACATCTAAGGATTTTTAGGAAAAACTTTGGTACAAATAAACTATGTATTTTTAAAACATTTTAAATACAAGCTCTCAAATGGTCCTTGAAAACCTATCAAATGTGTCAAACAGCTATCTTGCCTTACCTAGATGCAGACATACAGTAACAATTGCTTAACTCTATGCATAGATGACACTAAATCTTTTTACTTCTGACCCAGTTGTTTTATGACTTCGTTTTAATTTACATACTTACGGGGATGAAAAGTGGCTGTAGGGCTTCAAAAATGTACGGAATACTAAATCCTGCCCAAACTCAACTGCATTTTATTTTGAAGTGTTCATAAAAGATAGTGGTTTTCAGAAACACAGTTTTCAGACTAAGACTGGCAAACTTCAAGAGTTCAAAAGCACATGTATTCTTTTATCCCCAACAAAGCTAGTAGCTATCCTCTAAAGCAGAGGTTCTCAAATTTTTTTTCTTCCGAACCACAAAATGGATTATGATCTCATGTGCGTACTCCCATTGCTTTCTGCCATCTTCCGTAAATTATATGGAGAAAATAAAGCAAATAGTGCTAGGGATTTTGGGGTTGGGGGCAGTAGGGTACTTTTCAAAAAAGAATTGTAGTACAAAGATGTAAGATCCTAAGGTGTCACAGGCAACTCTAAGTGATGAGCTAATGATTCCATTTTTTCAAGAACTCTGTACTCCAATATTAGTCAAAAACATTATAATTTTGGTCTGATAGTTAAAACTACTGTGGAAAGGGCTAAAAAAAACAAGTTTGATTATTCAGTTCCTAAGTGAATTGACCGTTTAGGCACTTTAAAAATAATACAGCCAAGATTAAAAAGATATTATTTGGAATTTTTGCTATTAAAGTTAATGGTTACATCTAAAAGAAAATCACCTTCCCTGTTGGACAAAAGGAACTCAAGAAAATAAAGGGATTCTTTCCTCCTAGGTCCTTGTAAGCAAGAGTGAAATGATTTTCAACCAAGAATTCATTATCTTTCTAGATTATCAGTTAAGGTTAAGCCTCAGAAAATATACTTCCTACCTATGCTATCCTCTACTGCAAGAAAAGAGAAAACCAAGAAAGGGTACAACTAAGAATGTAGAAAATGAAGAACCTAGGAAACAGAAGTGACAAAGTACATCTCTGGAAAAGGATAATAAGTGCCTGGATAATAGCTGGGTAAAATGTTTGGCAGAGAACCTTTCCACACCGGAGGATGGAGGGCTCCACGTGAAGTATCCTCAGGGGTAAGAAATTACCTGATATTATCATATGAAAAATTATATTATGAGGTCCTTTGCACTTACTGAAGAATGTGGCAAGACCAAGTCAGATGCTGAAAGAAAATGAGGTCATTAACTTCCAGAACAACAAAAAGTATTGTAAGAAATAAATTCGATCATAGTATGCTACTTGGTTCGATGGTGAACAGTTTATAGTTATAATAATGAAAACACTGAATTTGGAATATATAAAGATTGAAATATTAATATATTAGAAAAATGGGAGGGTAATATATATAAGCAAAATATCCATTCTTTGTAGTACTAAGTCAATGAATAATGGATGAATCAAAAAGTAGCAGCATATTCACATTATTTGGAAATAATGAAGGTGAATTCTACAACCACTACATGAGTGGAAAGTTTCCTCTGTGAATGTGAAAGTGGGACTCTTTTTTGTCACAAGCCTTTTAGTATTATTTGATTTTTTAAAACTCACTGCATATAATATTTGGCAGAAGGGTGTTGACACAGAAAGAGACAACAGTTTTACACTGAAAAACGACCTTCAATCACTGAGTAAGAGAACTAGGATCACACCTAAATTCATCCACTCCTGTTTTTTTTTTAACAATATTTTAGGCTAAGTCTTATGGGTCAATATTCATTTACCAAATAATAGTCTTTCATCACAGAGTACTTCCACAGTTTTAAAGAGAAATTTACTTTTCAAAGTTTAATGTCTTTTAAGATGTCTAAGGATTATCCTTCTGCTTTCTGCTTTTCAGAAAGTACTTTTGGAGTAGATCTGTTCCGGATTCTTTTCCTCTTTTTTTTCTTTTCAGAGGCAGATTTTGTGTCCTGTGCTTTTTTCTTTTTCTTCAAACAGCTAAGAGGATTGGGGCCACTTATTTTCTTGCGCTTTTTTCTTCTTCCCTGTTCAGGGTTTTTCACTAAACCCTGCTCTTCTTTGAGTTGCTTGATACTTTGTTTCTCATGCACTGAGACAAGCTGACCTGACTCTACTGCTTTAACAAAAGCAATTGTTTTGGGTGAAGGTCTGTCCAAGACCATAGTGTTCTGAATAATAAACATCAGAGGAATTCCAGGTTTTTTCTTTACTTTCACAGACAAATTCTGATCCTGTTAAGAAGAAAAATATTGTTTAGTTCAAATATGTCAACTGAACAAGATGCCTTAAAGAGTCTTCTACAAACTTAAAGAGGGCTATATTAAAAATAAGAGATCATAGGATGTACTTTTCAAATCAGTATGTGTAGCTAACGGGAGTACATTTTATGATAAAGGAAGAGAAACATAAAAACTGAGCTGAAATGGTTAAGTGGCAACAATGTGAACTGGATTTATCAATATTCTAGGACCAAGAATTACAAAGGAATGCAAAGGTAAAATACATTAGGTGATGTCCCTTGTTTCTATCAAAGACATGCTTCAGAAGGGGTCAAGAAAGCTCACAGAGGCTGAAATAATAGAAATAAAGTAGGAATAAGATGGCTAAGATTCTAGATTCAGCACTGCCTCTAACTGTGTTATTTATAATTCTAAAAGCATGCTTAAGGAAATTAGTATGTATGTGAACTTCTTACTATCAACTCAGAGGCTCTCTTTTCTTGCCTCCCAGTCTATAAAGCTGTTCCATATTAGTGGTACAGTCTCAAATAACATAAAACATGACTTATTGAGAAATAGTATGAAACAGAGGAATATGACAAACATTTATGAACATAAAACGTAAGTCTTTGCTATAGTTATCTTCCCTTCAAGAACTCTAAACTATACATCTCCATCAATAATTTACTTTTAAAAAGGGAACTTCAGTACTTAAGAAGGAAATCAACATGCTTAAGTTTCTGCCCTCAAATTCTCTAATAAAACTGCTTTTTTTGATTGCAATTAACTCAAAAGCCAGTTGTGGATAAAGTGAAAGTTCTTATGGCTAGGATCTCACCTGGCCCTGCTCAGCTAGCTCACTACACATGTTGTGGGCAATACATTGCTACTGACTCCACATAAGGAGCTCTGCCCAGCAGTCTGGGCAACATGGTGGTAGGGCTGCAGGAGAGCAGAGACTGGAGTGGTGGATGCACCAAGGGCTGAGATGGCTGTGGGGGGCAGAGAGACGCAAAGACAGAGACCAGCTTGCTGCATGCAGAGTTGCTCTGAGTGGATGGGATTCTAGTGACTGACCTGCCACTGTGGGAATAAAGTTGGGTATAAACCCTTTCACCCCAAGAACATTCCATTGTCATTCTTTGGCCTCAATGAATCCATAGTGAACTTGCCCTGGGCTGAAACCCATTGGCAAGACACCTATATTTTACAAAGTTGAAACACTTTAACAAACCACTTCCACCTAATTTTTTCCTGACTGTACATAGCACCATATGAAGTATAAATAGAAATGATTAAAATAGACTCTAGCTTTAAAAGTAGTATTACCTGCAAAAATACTCAATGAAATATTAGCAAATCGAATGAAAAAACACATCAAAAAGATCATCCATCATGATCAAGTAGGATTTATTCCAGGGATGCAAGGATGGTACAATATTAGAAAATCTATCAACATCATCTACCACATCAACAAAAAGGACAAAACCACATGATCACCTCCATAGATGCTGGAAAGCATTCAATAAAATTCAACATCCATTCATGATAAAAACTCTCAACAAAATGGGTATAGAGGGCAAGTACCTCAACATAATAAAGGCCATATATGATAAACCCACAGCCAATATCATACATAACAGCGAGAAGCTGAAAGCTTTTCCCCTAAAATCGGGAACGAGACAAGGATGCCCACACTCTCCCCACTTTTATTCAACATAGTTCTGTAGGTCCTCGCCACGGCAATCAGACAACACAAAGAAATAAAAGGCATCCAGACTGGCAAGGAAGAAGTTAAACTATCCTTGTTTGCAGATGACATGATATTGTACATAAAAAACCCTAAAGAATCCACTCCAAAAGTACTAGAACTATTATCTGAAGTCAGCAAAGCTGTAGGATAGAAAATTAATACACAGAAATCTGTTGCACTCCTATATACTAACAATGAACTAGGAGAAAATCAGGAAAACAATTCCATTCACTCACAATTGTATCAAAAAGAATAAAACACCTAAGAATAAACCTAACCAAGCAGGCAAAAGACCTATACCCTGAAAACTACAAGACATTCAAGAGAGATATTAAAGAAGACACCAATAAATGGAAATACATCCCATCCTCATGGAAAGGAAGAATTAATAATTGTCAAAGTTCCATCATGCCTAAAGCAATCTACAGATTCAATATAATCCCTATCAAAATACCAACAGCATTCTTCAATGCACTAGAACAAATGGTTCTAAAATTCATATGGAGCCAGAAAAGACCCCGAATGGTCAAAGAAATCCTGAGAAGGAAGAATAAAGCGAGGGGAATTATGCTCCCTGACTTCAAGCTCTACTACAAAGCCACAATAATCAAGACAATTTGGTAATGGTACAGGAACAGACCTATAGATCAATGGAACAGAATAGAAAGCCCAGATATAAACACACACACATATGGTCAATTAACATACGATAAAGGAGCTATGGACATACAATGGGGAAATGACAGCCTGTTCACCAACTGGTGTTGGCAAAACTGGACAGCCACCTGTAAGAGAATGAAACTGGATTACTGTCCTAGCCCCATACACAAAAGTAAACTCAAAATGGATCAAAGGCCTGAGTATAAGTCATTAAACCATAAAACTCTTAGAAGAAAACAGGTAAAAATCTCTTGAATATAAACATGAGCAACTTTTTCCTGAATGCATCTCCTTGGGTGAGGGAAACAAAAGCAAAAATGAACACATGGGACTACATCAAGCTAAAAAGCTTCTATACAGCAAAGGATATCATCATCAGAACAAAAAGGCATTCTACAGTACGGGAGGATATATTTGTAAATGACATATCCGACAAGGGGTTAACATCCAAAATATATAAAGAACTCACACGCCTCAACATCCAAAAAGCAAATACCCCGATTAAATAATGGGTGAAGGATATGAACAGACAATTCTCCTAAGAAGGAATTCAGATGGCCAACAGGCACATGAAAAGATGCTCCATATTGCTAATTATCAGGGAAATGCAAATTAAAACCACAATGAGATAGCACCTCACAACAGACAGGGTGGCCAGCATAGAAAAGACTAAGAACAACAAATGCTGGCAAGGATGTGGATAAAAGGGAACCTTTCCACACTGCTGGTGGAAATGTAAATTAGTTCAACCACTGCGGAAAGCAGTATGGAGGTTCCTCAAAAAACTAAAAATAGAAATACCATTTGACCCAGGAATTCCACTCCTAGGAATTTACCCTAAGAAAACAGGATCACAGATTCAAAAGGACATATGCACCCCTATGTTTATCACAGCACTGTTTACAATTGCCAAGAAATGGAAGCAAACTAAGTGTCCATCAGTAGATGAATGAAGATGTGGTATATATTCACAATGGAATATTATTCAGTGATAGAAGAAAACAAATTCTACCTTGCAACATGGGCTAGAGGGTATTATGCTCAGTGAAATAAGCCAGGCGGAGAAAGACAAGTACCAAACGATTTCCCTCATTTGTGGAGTATAATGATGAAGCAAAACTGAAGGAACAAAACAGCAGCAGATTCAGTCTCGAAGATGGGACTAGCAGTTACCAAAGGAAAGGGGTGAGGGAGGGTGAGTGCGGAGGGAGGGAGAAGGGGATTGAGGGATATTATGATTAGTACACATGGTGTGGGGGGGGATCATGAGGAAGACAGTGATGCACAGAGAAGTAGTGACTCTGTGGCATCTTACTACACTGATGCACCATGACTTCAATGGGGCAATGGGGGAGACTTGCTAATATGGGTGAAATGTAGTAACCATTGTTTTTCATGTGACACCTTCGTAAGAGTGCATATCAATGATACCTTAATAAAAAAAAAGTAGTATCACCTGTGTTGCCACAAAATAATGATGAGGATTTCCATCTTCAACCATGGAAAGCAGACATTCTGATCCACTCACTGCATCCTTGAAATGGGGACAATTTCGAACTTGGCATTTTTGTGCAATCAGTTTTGCCCCATATAATTCCTTCCCCAATGTTTCTAACTCTTTTAATACACACCTGAAAGAAAAATGCTATTAGCAGCTTATAATTATAACAGACACAAATCAGTTGTTTACATACAAGTACAAAAAACAATACTTGATGTTTTTCCAACTAAAACTATATTATCAGAATCTGAATTTTTCCATATGGGAGTCACAAATCATATCACAGCCATTTCACTCCTAAAAGACTTGGAAAATGCATATGCCAAGTAGAAAGAATAAAAACAACAGTTAAAATTTATTGAGTGTTTATTATGTGCCACTCACCCTACCAACTTCCCTTTACATAAATTCTCATTGAATCTCAAAACAGCCTTTACTTAGAAGTTAGGCAGTTTACTTTAAAATTATCCTGACTTTAGAGCACCTCGTCCTGAGATTTCAAGTCACATGCCCCAATTCATACTACTAAGTTGTAGAGATGAAATGTGAATCCAAGGAGTTTGACAACAGATGCCTCACCCCAACGATAGTTTTGTGCTTCTATTGCAAGTCCAAATTGGCACACCCTCAAAATACTTTCAGCTCCACAAAGTAAAAATTCTCAAGTCATCAAATTATTTAAAAACAATCCTTTTTCACATTAATATCAGCCAATGTCTTTCAAAGTGTCATCTACAAAATACCGTATTAGAACGACATAGTGACATTTTCCAGCTCCCTTTCTCATCCCCAAATCTGCACCTTTTGTGGGGTCAAATATTAGCATATTAATAAGCTCCCCTGCCACTTCTTCTATCAAACTAACAGAAAATCATGAGAATTACTTAGTCCAAGATTTCTTCACCCTGAGCCAGCCCTTGTAAGACTGTACCTTGCCTAACACCTTTTATCATCCCATTAGTTTTGGGTTTGTTTTTTAGAAAAGAGATTTTGCTTTGCTTTCTGCAGTCATTAGTTTTGACTTCTATTTTGAGTTTCAGTCCCAAACTGCCAACTCTTCATTGTGGTATGGATGTCCTGGCATCAGTTCTTCAAATTCACTGTATCTAAAAATCAAGCTATTTCCCTGACCCCAAACTTCTCCAGGGCTTGCTAATTCTTTGAATTTATTTTCTCAGACAGCTTGAGTGTCAGTCAGAACACCGACTTGACCCTTTCTTGTTCACCCCTACCCCTACCCCATCAGCTGTTAGCTATATCTCAGCTGTTGGTGTCTATGTCAGTAATGTCTCCTACTAGAACCTTTGGGTCTCTGCTTTTCCTCTCCCATTTTCCTCTCCCCAGGTTTCAGGCTCCCATTATTTCTTGATTGGACAACCACGAAATGGGTTTGCCTGTCTTCATTCTCTTGGGTCTCCCTCCAACTTAACCCCTCACACTGTTGCATTTGTCTTTCTAAAAGACAATTCTCAGGTTTGACAGCATATAATCTCTTCATGTAAAACACCAAGAATTGACAGAATAATATTCTTTAAAATAAACTATCGGTAAGGTTGGACGGGCAGGAAAGATAACTGGAAGCCTGGCCATGTTAATTGCAAAAGCTGCTGATTCTACTTTTGAGTAGGTACGAAATATTCCATAAGTTCAAATAAATTTTTTAGGGGGAAAAAGACTATAAAACATATTTTCATGCAGTACTTCTCAAACATTTCGTATCATAGCATTGTATTAAAAATGTTAATATTTCTATGGAACACAGGGATAAATGGACAAGATGCATAGCCAGAAGCAATCTACTCGGGAGCATGCAAGAGCCATTTACAAATGTGTCTGGCAGTCCTGCTAAGCTAAGGGGATCAATCATTTGGGGATATGTATAATCCATCTGAGGAACTACTTGAAAAGCTCTGAATATGGAAAGTGTTCACTGGACAGTTTTATGTGAGAAAAGCAGACCATTAATATCAAATGCACAGTTGAAAGCCCATGTGTGTGTGTATTAGGAACTGGATGGATGATACATGTTAGAAGCAGAAATTCATAGGTGTGGTGTTATGGGTCCTTTTATTTTCTTTTTTTAACTTTTTTTTAAAGGTAAATATTCTACAATAAAAACCGTTAAGTTTTTAAAAAGTTCTTCATGATGTAGCCTCAATTTATCTTTTCCCAGCTTTATTTCCAACTGTACCCGGTGCTCTTACCTCTTTCCCAGGGATTTCACAACTCCATAATTTGTTCAAGAAGTTCCCACAAGTCACTTTCTGTCACTCAAAATAGTCTCCTCCCCTCCCCAGAACTGAACCACTGGGCTCACAAGTTACCTCCTCTATTGCACCTTCCATGATTCCATCCTCCCTCTCTCCCATCCCCACCAGGTTCCATCTTAAATATTCTCACAGTTTGAATTGGTGGGGAAGCTTTAAACCTGGAGTCAAAACACACAGATTGGAGGCTGACTTATGCACTTTACTGGCCACAGGGGTGGATGCTTGTCCTCTTCACCAAGTCATACTCAGTGACTACACTAGTGTTTGGCATATGGCTGGTACTGAACAGTCGAATACAGAAATGACTCTGGGGAAAGTTTTTAATCTCGAGTCCTGACTTAATGGAAAGTGTTACCTCACAGGTAAGTTGTGAAGCTGGACAATTTATTTACCATAGCAAAAGCTATGGAAATCACAGCAACCATTTGAGAGGAGTAGGTTGCATCTCAGACGCCAGTGAAGCGCTCTACACACACTATATCTTGTCTGATCTTTACAACAACCTTATCAATAGTTATGGTCTCTTACTTACAGTTGAGAAATCCAAGGCTCAGAGAGGTTAAGTAACTTGCCCCAAATCACAGAGCTGGGTAGGCCTGGGATCAAGACTGGAAGCCAGGTCAGACTACAAAGCACGTGGTCTTAGTCGCCGGGCTAACGCGAAAGTTCGTTGGGCACTGTACTCTGCCTACAGTGTGGTTACTCGCCGGACCTCCTTAGGGCCCCAACTTCCCGGTCAGCTCCTCGTGGGCGGGGCGTTTCGCACCTCGGGTGCTTGCCCTGGAGGCGTGAGCAGCGGCCTCGCCTCCACCCCGCAGGATACCCGCGCGCCCTCCCGCGCAGGCCCACCTGGTGGTGCACAGCTGCGTCTCCCCCATGAGATAGCGGGGCAGCTGCTCGCGCAGCTGAATGCGGCCCCTCAGTGCCGCCTGACAGAAAGTGCCGTCCAGCAGAATCTGGTAGGGCTCACGGACTCCGAAGTTATTGCGGAAGAAGCCGAGATGCTTCTTGGCGTGTTTCTGCCTCGTGATCTTCATGCCTGGCTCACTGGGACCGAGGCCACGGGCCCAGAACGCCGCAGGAACACGAACCTACCTGTCCACCGCCGACGGGACCGCCTTGTCCCGGAAAGGAAGTTCCCTTGGCCCCGGAAGCAAACGCCCCCACCTCCCGGGCCCGCCCTCTGGTGACGTCACGCCCTAACGAGTGCGCGCTTTACTTGGTGCCCGCGCTTTAAGGGACCCGCCGAGCTGTCGCCTGACGCGAAACTCAGTGGGTGCACGATTACTCGCCGGGGCGCACCTACGAAGTAAGGAACCAGAGTAAAAGATCATCTCCGCGCTGTTTAGCGCGTCACTGGACAAGCCGTCAGCGTCTGAAAGATAGACTGCGTAATACTAGCATTTATGAAATTAAACAATAATTTCCACTACAATAATAAATGATAATATTGAACTTTAATATGTTCCAGGTACTATTCCAAGTAGTTTACCCTTTAATGTTTATAATTCCCAAGTTGGGGAAGGAAAGGAATTAACCTGTATTTGACAACTATAAATGGGCAGGTTTGTACTGGTTGCCTCCCTATGAAGAAGTTAGGTACGTATATTAAGGGCAAGTGGTTCTTCAATGTCAGTACTATCACTGGAACCCAGTCGCCAGCCTGCAGATCAAATGTTCTTGCTACGATCCCCCGCCAAGGAGCTACTACCCTCGCTCGGGACCTCACCTAAATGTAGGGCGGAAAGTTCCACCGTTTTGCATCTCCTCTTTAAGACCATCCTAAATCACTCACACCTGGTGTTTGGAAGGAACTCTCAAGAGCTTCGTTTTCAGAGTCAGAATACCTAAACTTGAGTCCTACTTCTGCCACTAACCCAAGCTGATCTTGAGCAACAACCCAAGAGAGCTGGGTTCTTCACGGTCAAACTGGTTGGAAGGACTAGATCATTTTTACCAACTGTTTTTACATCTGTAGTCTCTGAAGTAGGAAGGTTGCATACTGTAACAGGAAGGAACAAAACTGAAAGTTCAGTAATTGCTTGATCAACTTGATTAATTAAGGGAGTGAATCATAGTTTTGAGTTTGCCAGCAGTTATTTGCCAAGTATACACTTTAATTCAAAACAAAATAATTAAAGAATGGGAAGTATGGAATTTTGCATTTTTGTCCTGGCCTTGTATCTGTCCCAAATCTAGTTTTTTCCAAAGATTGACCGAACTAACACAGAAAAATGATTTACAAAGTGATTGAGATGTATTATTTGCATTTGGAGTTTTATGTGAAGATACAGGTTTAAGGAATTGGAACTAAGACCTGAAATGCTTGGTTTGTCCTGATTGCCAGCACATCACCTAGATGGCTGCTTTTGTTTAACTGAAAAGAAATTTAGAAATTGGAAGTCATGAAGAGTTATTGGAGGACTGGATTCATGGTTCTGAAGAATAATTGTTCACAAATTTCCAATTTAAATCCTCTCTCTATCCCTGTTGCCAGCCCCCAACTCCGACTATACTACCATTAGACTCAGAAATTATACCACTCCTGCCTTGCAGAACAGTTAAAACATTAAAAAAAAAAAGATTCACAGATTTATCAACCAGCTCTATCCCACTGGGTCCATGCCATGCCATCGTTTTTTTTTAGTTTGCTAAACTACAGCATAATTTTTCAAGTTTTTTTTAAATTAAATTTTTCTCAAACTCTGTGTTTATGACAGTGCCATGTGGACACTTGACTAAAACATGAAGAGAGTCTACAACAGTGATTGTCAAATTTAAAACAGAGTTTTCTATTGTAGCACTGTTTCTCAGAACAGGATTCTAGGACATAACAGAAAAGGCTCTTAGTGTGTTTGTTTAAAATGCCCATTTCTAATTCAGACAAGTATTGTTGGAGAGGGATACTACTCAAAAAGGCAGTGACATTTGTTACAGTCTCCCCAAGTCATTATTCTTCATATTAGTGTTCCTGAAGGACCTTTTGCAGTAAAGCACCAATGTTTATCCAATGGGATATTTTCATTAAATGGTCTACTGAATACTTTTTCTCCCAATGCCAAATGATCTAGTATTGGAAAATCAATATTTGGCCACAAACAAGGCAGAAGCCAAATATTACCATTAGTAGATCAACTATTTGGATATAAGTTTAAATCTGAAATTTTATTCTGAAAAATATTATAATATCATTATTAAAATTTTCATAGCCATTGGAAAGTTCTTTGACCTTATAGTGCAGGAAAAATAATGTCTCAGCGTTGCTAGCTGCTAGCCTTTTCTCAGAAAACACTGGACATTTTCCACTACAAATAGACATGTAGCTGAGGTAGGTAGGGATTAGTTTATTTTTCTTTGCTTTTTCATATTCTTTATTATGTCTGGATCAAATATAATTTATAATGTGATGTTGTACATGTTTTTGAGGATTTTTTTCTTCATGAAATTTTGATGAAGCCAAGTTGACATGAGAATGATTTATTCTTGCAAAGTGTGACTAATTCCCCAACAAGACTGTTTTCATGAAAGATTCATGGTCTAAATGGATTTGAACAGGTAAACATTAATTACAATTCATAAAGGTTATTTTGTTTAATTTCATAAATGCTAGTATGCCAGATGATTCAAACAAGATATCTGTTGTGATATGATTCTGCTTACATTCATATTTAAATGTTTATAAACATTTTTTAACATCCATTAGCTCAAAAAGAATACAGTGTTCTTCCTAATGTTATCTGGCCAACATACTCTCTAAATAAATAATTTCCCTAAATAAATCATTTAAAACAACTTAGGTAAATTGGTTTGTATTGAGAGCCTATTAAATTCTTCACTCTGATCCCTTAGGATAGATTTCATCCTGGTCTTGCTTACTGTAAATTTTCATATATGATCCAATTTGGGTCTGGAAGCTGCCACATTTTTAAAAACATTTTTATGTTTTCAAATTACAAAAATAACACATGCTTGTTATAACAAGCGGAACAATGGAACAACACAAAGATATTCATGCCCCCTCCCCTTGCCCAATAACACATTAACAACCTACTGTGTATCCTTCAGGCATTTACCATTTTTGTATACTTACATATCATTTGCATACATATTGCATACATATGTAGAGGTTTTTGTCACTGTGTTATTAAAAATGGATTCATATTCTATCACTTCTATACATTTTGTTCTTGCAAACCTTGTGGAAAGTCCCCCTGCCCCCACACACAACCAAGTCAATTGGCATAGCTCTCATTTTTTTAACGACTGTATGAAATCTCCCATAAAATTGCCATATACAATGGTTGAGGCACAGACTGTGAGTTGGCACCTAATATCTCTTCCTTTTAGTAATAGACTCCTGATTTTATGCTGGACAGTAATGTGCCCAGAAAAGAGAATCCATTGCCCAGCCCTCTATGCAGTTTAGTCACATAATTAAGTTCTAGACAATACATAAGTATAAATGCTACAGGGGAATTCTGGGAAGTCTGCTTAAAAGAAGCCAACTTACCTTAGTGATGGCACTTGTTTTTTCCCACCTGCTTTCTTTCTACATCCTGGAATTTGGATGTGAGGGATGGAACACTAGCAGCACATTTTGGACCCTAAGGTAAACTTGAAGATGGAGTCCATGTGTTAAGTTGGCCAAAGCATATAAAACAAGGAGTCTGCGTCATTTGTGACTGAAACTACCTTCCAAAATCTAGGCTTTCTACCTGGATTTGTTTTAAAATGAGAAGTAAAATAAACTTATACCTTGGTTTAAAAATATATTATTTCCTGGTGGCAAGGAATTAAACAGTTTTCAGTAACCCAGTAAAATATTATTTCAAAGTCTCTTATTTATAATTTAATTACCCCAATACCAGGTATTAATTACATGATATTACACAAAATAAAGGCCACTCTTAGAATCTGTGCAAATGCTTTTTTTTTTTTTTAGGGGCATGCCAATCTTCTCTGTATCGTTCCAGTTTTAGTATATGTGCTGCCCAAATTTCTTTTCATTTTTTAAGGCAACTTTTTTAAGAGCAGTATTAGGTATACAGCAAAATTGAAAGGAAGGTAGAGATACCCATATAACCCTTCCTCTGCACATGCCAGCCTCCCCTATTAGCAACATCACTCACCAGAACAGTACTTTTTTGTTGTTATCAAGGATGAACCTACATTGACACATTTTCTTTTATAAGCAGCCAAACCCAATCCTAAGTGACAGAGTAAGTTAAAACTACTCGCCAGAATTAGAGAATTTTGTATTGCTTTTCTCTTTACATCGGTTTGTCTTAGATGTCTTCAATGAACATTTGACGTTGGTTAGTGTTTGCCAAAAATATGCCCTTTCTTTAAAAAGGTTCAAAATCCTAGTTTATAAGTTAGGTAAATATGAAGATCCCCAGCTTCTTGGGCAAGAAACATCAAGAAAATGTTAGTGTCACCCAATTGTCAACTAAACAAAGCAAGCAGGATGTCTGTCTTGTTGGCCCAGCTAGTACCAGTGAGCTCTCCTCCCAGGGGAAATGACAAAGGAGAAACTGTCTCTTAGAAAAGAGTTTCAAGGGATTTCTGTTTGCCAAGGATGTTTCTAACCCAGACATTAATCAAGAAGTACCTACTGTTGGTTATCAGAGGACTATTGTCAGGTGGCTGAAACTGAGACTAGCAAATCTGCTTGCTTTAATAGTTTATTTTAATGAAGTCATATAGAGAACAAATACTGCCAGGTGAGGTAAATCAAAAGGAATTCAGTACTTCACTGTAACAGATCTCAGTAGTACTCTCAACTGGGATTTTACTACAACATGTTTAATGGTGTAAAGTCAAGTCGTAAAAACAAAAACTGGTAGAGAGGAGAGAAAAGTTAAGAAGTGGCAGCAACGTGCAAAATGTTTTACTTTGATGCTTAACAAAGTGGCATTTAAATTTTAAGTCAACTGAAACTGGCCGAGAAGTTCATACTGTATGGGTCTTTCATTTTACTCTACCAAAGCACTTTAGATTATTGAATCTTAAAATTACTCTAGGTAAGCAAATATTATTACTGTTGCTTAAACGAGTTTCAAGATAGAAAATTATGTCAGATTGCAGCATTAAAAGGATTTTATAAAAAAACTGTTTATATTGAACTAAATGTTGAA